ATTCACTTTCATATTCGTATTCCTCTTTGACAAATATGATTCAGTTAATTTTAGCAATTTTTGATTCACTGATTTGTTGAGCTATAAAACACTCCTGCAAGCACCTAGAGACACCAAAACCACAGAGGAGCTTCACCTGACTCTTCTCTACAAGCCCTCCAAGTTTGGTGAAGATTGTGTTCCCTCAAACCAGCTACTAAAAAGTGCTTTCCTGGGCAGACCCACTTTGTGGGTGTATAACTTGAATATCCAAAACTCAAATTTCACCAAACTTGGAAGGCTTGTAGAAGAGAATCGGGGGAAGCTTCTCTGCAATTTTGCTGTCTCTTGGTGCCTGCAAGGGGGCATTTTATATGGTTTTAAAGACAAAATGAATCCACAAATTGATTTGTTGATTCATCAGAAAAAAATCATAAATTCATTATTCATAATTTGTCAATCTTGACAAATCATGAATTGAAATGAATTGCAATTTTTCCAGTCCATGCCTACTTATAATTCTGATTTTATGCCTGAAAGCCTGTTGGTGCAATTATGCAAATAGTGTAACTTCCAGATAGGAAATCTACATAGGCTTTTTCTGTTACATACTAAGTCGTGCAACTTGGCATGCAACACATGTCTACATAATTTCTTAACTTATAGTAGTTAGATTCCAAAACAGATGTATTTGGTGTAAATGCACAAGATTTCGGCCTATGAATTTTTAAGACCAGCAGTTCGTAGAACCACCACAAAACAGATAAATCCAATCTGTAATTTTAACCCAGAGACCAAAATTCTTCTCTTTTAAACAACATATCAGTTAAAGAGACATTTTATTTTTGTCAGGAATGGATTGTATATCTAATGCAAAAAAAGTCTTAGAAGTGTGAAGAGCAGAAATAAAAATAAGTCTGTGAAGGCTGTTTCCATGTGCTGCGTCGAATCTTAGTCTCAATGCCCCGTGGTCCTGGACCTGAGAGATCTGAAAAAGTATATTTTAGGAATGAGCATGGGCATATGATGACATTATTTACATTATCTGAATTCAGTTACTAAACAATCTTACAATAGATCTATTCTTATCCACAGGGCTGAAAAATTCCTTGGCTTGTAAGACATTGGTTGAAATCCCGTTCCTTTGTAGCACATGTGGAAGGTTAAAAAATGTCACATTCAGTCATCTATAGCCAGTAATTGACAAGTCCCCACTGAAATTCTCAAGGGGGATGGCTTGATGTGCACCCAAGAATCCCGGTAGAGATTTGTCAATTGCCACCTACAAATGACTCTGAATGCTATACCTGAATGCTATATCTTTTCCATAACAAAGCAACAGGATTTCAGTCATTGTGGACAACAGGAATGCTGTTCACATCTGTAATATCTCACAGGACGATGAATAAGGTGACTCTTATTCTGATCAATTCCAACATGCAATCTAAAGACTGATACACTATTACCACTGCCTGTCATTTTTATTAGGCTGGTCAATTTATTATTTGAAGGTAAACTTTTATTTCATGTCTGGTGCTTTGGAAAGAATTAAGGTATCCAAACTCCAGCAACTATGTGATGAATTCCCAGAGGAGTTTATTCAATAAAACACTTTTGCTAATAGAGGCACCCATGAGCCAGGTTGCTTGAACAGTTCCTGGGGAACCTGTCTTCCTCAGGTGCTTTTTAAAAAAATATATAGTGTTAAGAATTAACTTTCCCACTCCTAAATATTGATCATGGTGTGAGAAGTCAGAGAAAATTATTTCTACCCAACCAATGAGATTTATCTCCATAGTCAGATTATATATCACCATGGTATAAATGCTGCTCCAATTCAGAGTTTAGAAAATTGATAGATAAAGGCACTGTGGTTCTATTTGCAAGTTTCATTCAGCAGTTTGTTTTTTAGAAGTACAATATTTTCTTTGGCAAGAAGATGCCAGACAAGACCAAAAAAAAACACACCTTTAAATAGAAAAACTTCTTATGGGCAATAAAACACATTCTGTTTAAAACAAGTAATTTTTGCATTTTAACTCAAGACTGGATTTTTAACAACAGATTAAGTAATATTCCTGGTTTTATTTCTTGCATACATTTTTTTTAAAGATTTAAGGAACATTTTAAGAGCTGCAGTTACAGTTGGAAGAGTTTGCACTCTCTGAATCTTTATTCCAATTAAAACACCTCACTTTTTCCACTGGCAAAGGGGAAAGCTATAAAGTAACACACTACTCTTTGGCTTCTAAGATATGCAAATAGTTTTCCCACTTAAGATCTCTTCTAGACTTGGTCAGCACAAATTACTAAAGCATTCAGTGTGGCTCAGTGAGAGACAATGACTGAGCCGTAACAGAGGGGTTCAGCACTTTTGAAGGTATGTACCAAAGCCTTTATTTTATTTAAAAATACGTGTTGCATGAATTGCTGAATGCATAATAATTAGGAAATCAACTTGGGCCTTTAAAGCTCTGATTGTTTTGTTGCTGTGAGAAATATAGAGAATTAACATTTCACTTGTTTATTTATTATATCTTTATTCTCAAAGAAATTGATGAATTACCTTGAGACCAGCTCCTGAATGAATGCAGATCTTTCCCTTTATTTTTTTAAAATATGTGTAAAACTATTGAAAGGATTTCAAAAAACATAGGGTTTTTTGCCTTCTGTTTACAAAAAAGCTTAAAATGTGCGATTTTTCTATTTCTCGTTGTAACCTTGAGTAAGCTTTTCTATCACAAGTTATTTGGGCAAGTATTCTTACTGTCATTCTCTTAGCAAAACCTCAAAACAGTTAATGCTACATGATATAACGGATAAGATCCAGATGAATTAAAATGTGCATTTTATCTTATTATATATTTATATTCATGACATGCCAAACATCCCACCAATTACAAGGGCTTAAGTAAAGGTTCCCATATTGGTGTTAGCTTGGTTTGAAGCTAGAAATTTATCATGTTCATAACTATGAAATTTGTTTTAGCAGCACATATATAACATTTGTTTCCTCAGTATTGTCAGTTGTTTGGCATGTACAATATACTAAAACTCTTGTATTATTCAATTCCATTCAAGTTTTTTAGCTGCACTTGATGTGAAGAAGGGGCCATGATTATTCCTCAGCAAATTAGTTATATGAGCAGCAAGCAAGAACTTAGAAACAGAAACATTTGCAGTTGTCACCTTTAAGTTTGACCTTTGCTGTTCAAAAGCACTAGGAAATATTCTAGGAAATATTAACTAACAAAGAAAAAAGCACTCCTCCATGCAAACATTTCCTTAAAAACACACACCTTACCCATTTTTCCATTCCTGCCATCCTGTCCATGGAATGGCCAATTAAAACAACAACAACATTATGATGCTGGCTTAAAACACCCAGACCAATAGTGCCTTGTAAGATGAATCTCACACCTTTGTGAAATCAGTCTCATGACTTATTAAGAAGAAAGAAGCCATCACATGGAAAACGTTTTTCAGATTTTGTCAGCTTTCTAGCATCGCACAATTTAATTCAAAAGCAACAAGATTATATGTTCATACCCTTAAACCGGATGAGATCGTATATTTCATGTGTCACCTTTTAATTTAAAAAGTCTCAAGAGATAAGTGTTACTATTGTTGGACTGGAAAATTACTTGTGGATATGTATGGGATACATTATGTTGCTCTGTATATGAAACATATAATTTACCATCCATGATTCTCACGACATAGTACTATGATACTATTTATGCACATTCTTCTGTGGAATAGGCCAAGTTTCCAAACATCTGGCACCCAGAAGTGGTTTACCATTTCCTTCTTCTAGGGGCATTCTGGGACTGTGCAGTTTGTCCAAAGCCACATAGGCTGGCTCTTCTGGCATGCACAGTGGGGAATTGAACCCTCAACCTCCTCCCCTGCCCTTTTTGAAGCATTCATTTGCTTTTTAAGGCTAATTCATAGGCAGTTGCTTTACATTTCCAGGTATAAGCCCCACTTTGCAATGGCACACACAGGATTCGTGCATAAAGCTGCAATCTGTGTCCATCTCTAAGTAGACTCCACTGAAGTAGGTGACTTGTCCTGAGTCGAAAATAACAAAAATGTCCTGTTAAAGTGTGTGTTATGAGCAAGAAATCGCAATTCAAATTTCATCCAAAATAATGTCATAAAATCATGAGGCAGTCTTAATTTATTTCCAAAATCTGCACACCACCTTTCAACATTTAAAAATTCCAGAAGAAACACACAAAACAAAGCTGTTTTTGGTATGACGTCCCTATCTCCAAAATGCTGGGAATAGTAATCTTGGTACTAGGGACAGCAAAAGTAGCAGTACTAATAAAGACATAGGTTACAGAATTGCTGTAAGGATTATTGAGTTAATGTATGTAAAGTACTGTATCAATGTGAATTATTGCTGTTAGTGCTTGCTATTCCAGTTTTAAGGGCCACTTACTGCACCGCAGATGGTGTATTTATTTATTACAAATATTAATACCCTACTCTAGTAGTCTGAAGATTTTCAGAGCAGCTCACAGCAAAAACAGTCCTCCAAACACAAGGCACATGTTTTTGGAACACAAACACACAAACTCAAGGACAGAGACGGCTCCAGCATAAAGACTGCATAAAAGCCTGGACCTTTTGTAAAAGGTCTTTGCCTGATACTGAAAAGAAAGCAGAACACCTAGGACTTGTCCAAATCATTGGGGAGCTTGAACTGGCCAACAAATGGTCCTGCTTTCACACACAGTGATGGTGTACAATATGCATGACCAGCCGAATCATTTCTGCACTGGGTGGCTACTATCTCCAGTTTGCATTTTAACCATGGCTAATAGCAAACTTCATTTTTTAATTTTTTTGGCTTCTTGGAATAAAATTTATAATGGAAAGTCCCACAAGCCCCTTCACCAACAATAAAAATACACAAATATTTTTTTCCATGACAGTTGAAGAAGGGAGTTGCCTCAGTCAACTTACATTTCACAGCCGGAACACTAAAGCAGAAAAATGTTCTTTTTCTTCCTATTTTACTTCCAAAATCAGATATTCGGGGGGAAAAGAGACAACGAGGTTCAATTATTTGTTGAATAGCATGGGTAGCCCTGAAAATAGCAGGGGGTGGACACCTCAAACTGATTTTTTTGATGTTATACATGACCTATACCACACAGATGTGAACGCTGAGGCACCTGTGATAAAGAAAAGAGTTTTAAAAGCAAGACATACAATCCAGAGTTAAGCACTCAAAGCCTTCAGCTTGTTGTTGTTATATGCTGTCAAGTCAACTCCGACCCATGGCAACCCTACGCTTGAGCAACCTCAAGAATGTCCTGTCATTCACAGCGGTTGCAAACTCAAGGCCGTGCCTTCATTTCCTTCAACTGAGGTGGGTGAAACTGTTTTAATTCATCTCACATTTAGGCTTTGCTTTTGTTTTTTTATATCTCATATTGTTTCTATTGTGTATATGAAGAAAGTTGTGAATCTTGGGGAATTATTATTAAAAATGAATTGAAAATGAACTCTTTGCCATCCTTGGGCGAGTGCTACTGGTTTATGATAATGGAGATGAGAACAGCAGAGAAGCCTTGAACCGGATTTTGCTCAAATGGCAGAAGAATCTCCAGGAGACTCTTTGTCCCAGATTCAGCTGTTTCTGAAAGCGGGCCAGTCACTTAGAGGGCAGGCAAAGCTGTCAGTAGTCTCCATGTAGACATCTGGAATCTATGAGCTTTTCTGACATTTCTCCAGTTAGAACAGCCACAAGACCGATGGGCATTTACTCTTGCCAGGTGCAATATAGTACCATCGAGCTTAGCACAGGGCAGGTATATGGTTTTACCTACAGAACTGAGAGTCTGCCCATGTGGTCAGGGAGAGGTTGAATCTCTGCAGCATATGTTATTTTATTGCATTCTGTAAAAGGATATTCACCTGTCTCATTTCAGCGCTTTCCTCTCCTCCCATTCCGGAGGGGATGATCTGAGGAAAATGCAACATCTTTTAAGTGACAATATTAAGGAACTTACCTTGTCAACTGCTAGATACGTATACACAGAGATGTCATAGCATGCTCTCGCAGAATGAAGAGCCCTAAATACACATTTGGCTAGTCCTTGCCACCTGTTAGCCGTTGAATATTTTAGATGTATTTTATTGTGTTTTAATTTATGCAATATGCCAATAAAGGTTCCTGACCTGACCTGACCAAAAGAAGTGCAACTGCAAATCTCGCCATAAAACCTGGCACCCGTAATCTGATTCATAAGCAGTGGACGTTAGCAAAGAAAGTGAGATTCAACAGACATAGAAGTAATTCTACTGTTAGTCTTTCCCATAGCCACTTTGCATGAATGCTACATGGCAATTTTTGGGGAAAAAATTTTTTGATCTTCTCATCTGTTAATTTTAGGATCCTCCCTCTGCCTACAAAGCAAGAAGAAACATGAACAAAGAAACATGAACAACACAAACCTGTCTATATTTTGCAGATGACTTTAATCTGAGATCTGGTATGTTTCTATCTCCCTTAAAATGAGTTAAATCTTTAAACGAGTTAAAATAGCAGGACTTGTTGAATTTAATCAGAATCTCAGAGTAACACTGTATTCAGCTCATTCCAAAATTAGATTAAACACACACACACACGCTACATTATGCCAGAAACAAATACATCCATTCATTTGAGTGTCTGTGCAACCTCATCTTTGGGAGCCAATCATTTTGAGATGTATGAAGAGCTTTTATAATGATGGTGATTATGATGAGGGGCAGACTAGGTAAGGACCAATGCACAATGGCCTTCAAGCAAAGAAAGAGTGTCATAGCAGAGAGCCTTTTAATGTGGTTGGGAAGTACTGTGGGGTATGTATTAACTGTAAGTGATAGCATTACAGCTCAGCTTTAGACAGAGGCAGACCTTTGTGAGAATCCAAACAAACAGATTGTTCCGCCATTACAATGCTTTTCATATAAATAATTTACAAACTAAGAAATTTGACTAAGAGTGGTAAATTTCCCAGAGGAACTTAACAATGATCTAAAACATAGATCTCAATTTAGGTTAACAGTGTTGAAAACTAAGAGATAAGGTAAAGGTGATAGTTAATGGTGTCTTAATCTTATGAATTTAATTGACTTATTGATTACATTTATATAGATCTGCATATCTTCCTGAGCATATAGTTGACCATTCTGGGGGGGAAAGAACATATTTTCTGCATCAAGGTACTTTGAAATATGTTCCACTGGTTTCAGGGAACCCTATAGACAGAGTGCTTGGAAGTGCTCATTGGTGAGACCACTGGTTTCAGGGAATCCTATAGACAAACAGAGTGCTTGGAAGTGCTCATTGGTGAGACAGATTAATAGTAATTTATCTTTAATTACCCAATGACCCATTTAACTAAGAGAGAGATAAACTAAGCACCTGCTTAACTTTCCTATTAAGCATGCATTTTCTTAACTGTATTGTGTCCTAACACTGTAGCTATAAATGGTGTAAGAAGGGCTATGTTGCAGATAACCTAGAGGATGGAATGCTTTGAGTGCTGTGTAGAGATCTGATTGTCACAGCTGGTGTTTTTCCACACATTTTGTAATTTGATAAATTAGATTGCTTTGTTTTATGATTATCTGTTAGTTTTGTCTGTCAGAACTGTTCAGTCACAAAGGTTGGCCTAAAGCACATTTCTAGATTACTGATGGATCTCCACTTCTAATGATGGACTTTATATAACAGATTGGATCTGAGTGGCAAGAAGAGATGAGGAATCAAGAGACCAACCTGCCTCCATTCAAGTCTGCAAGTTTCATACTACAGCTGGAATCCGTCAAGGATGAAATAGAAACATCTGGCAACAATTCAGAAGGGAAAGGACAAGTGCAGGGCATTTTTCTTTTACAAAGGTGCTTAATTAAACAGAGTCACTTTTAAAATAGTCTGAATATCTGACACGTATGGATCTGAACAATATATTAAGCTGATAGAAAGTGGGGGATGTTGAGAATTTTGATTACAACATGCATTCTCATAACATCAACAGAGTAAGAGATATTGGTTAGCAGAGATACTTATGACACTATGACAATGAGAGAGTAAAACCAACAACGTAGTCTATTTACATATATACACAGAGAATAGACATTCTTCTGGCAGCATAACATGACATGAAGCAACACACAGTGCAGGAAAAAGGGATCTGACTTACAGCAGATAAAGATGTTCATTTTACACATGACTTATGTACAGTTCTGTGACCAATCAGAAAATACATTACTTCATTTTCTGTTACACCAAGTTTCATCATGTATCACAGCTGTACAAAATTAAGTCTTAATCCTTGATACCTACACCTGAATACGATCAGTACAGTGACTCAGGTAAAATCAGCTATTTTACATTTAACTATGCAACATTAATATTTAATACATTTTCATATCAAAATCTCAACATTTTTGGGGGGAGGGACACTGAGTGGTCCTTGCATGCATTTCAAAAACAAAAGTGGACAATACTTGTATTGGACTACTAAAATCTTAAAACTCACCCTGAACAGATGCTGCAGTGTCATAATCTGAATTAAAATAATGTCCTAAAATGGAAAGGACAACCTGGTTGCATCAGCTTGGAGTATCTTTTACTTTTCTTTTTCTTTTTCTTTTTCTTTTAAAGCAAAGTGTGCTGCTTATATACCGCCCCATAGCACTTCAAGCACACTCTGGGCGGTTTACAAGTTAATTATGCAGGCTACACATCCCCCCCCCAGCACGCTGGGTACTCATTTTACTGACCTCGGAAGGATAGAAGGCTGAGTCAACCTTGAGCCGGCTACCTTGGAGTATCAGCAATCCAGGACCAACTGTGTTTCCCACAAAGGATTGCCAGTCATCTGGCCCCTTCCTTCTTGCCTTTTGGTGGAGCATCTTGCTCCTATTTGGCTTGGGAACAAAGACATAAGTGATATTTCAAGCTAGTCAGGGTGACTTCTGGAGTATTTCCCCTTGTCCCAAGCTCTGAAATATTCAGCCTGACAAAGGGTCCTGCTGGGCCTGAAAGCTCACCTGTGCTTAACAAAACTGAGTTTGAATCTTGCAGGAAAACAACAACAAAAAGTTGTGTGGCACTTTGAGGGTGAAGCACTGTCTCATGGCAGAATTATTTGGGGTACACCATATAGACAAAGGCCACTATCCAGCACTGTCAGTGAGCACATGGTGGAAACCATTTCTCCTTCTCTCACACAGTCCTTCGTGCCACCTAAAACCTGTTACAGAGGCTTGAGAAGACCCCCCCAGGGTAGGATTCCAGGGTTTCATGTGGTAAGGAAAGGATTGAAAAGAACAATATTATTTTGGGCAAGAATTCGGATTTGGATGAAGTCCAGCCAAAATGAAACTCTCCTAGGTCCCATTTATCTCACAGAGATAAACTAAGCACTTGCTTAACTCTCCTATTAAGGATACATTTCCTTAACAGGATTGTGCCCAAATATAGTAACTCCAATATTTCATTTCAGCTATTAATGGTGTAAAAAGGTATATACTAGTTTGTCTGCAAAAAATCAGTTCTTTTGAAAACCCCTTTTTGTGTTACATACCATTAAATTATATATATTGTGCCAGTGTGATGCCTCTGAGTCAGAGCTTAAAAATATATAGTAGATGTGACAGACAGCAAATCCAAATATTTTCTTCAAGAGGCGTTATCAAATTCTGAATGTTTACAGAAAGGTCAAGTAATGGGTGCGTCCAATTAATATACACCCATAACTCCAACACTTATTGCAAGTGCCAAACAATTCCTCTTTCTGCCATTTCCTAGGTAACAAAACATATAGCTGTAGAAGTGGAATGGACAAAGGAAGGAAGGGACCTAAGCTGGAAATGTTTCTATTTGCTTCTTGCTTAGAGGTACCTAGTCCTAGAGAATTATCAAAGACTGACATCAGAAAACACACAAAGCGAAGGAGAAGAGAGCGCGATGTCACCACAGGAGAATGCTGAACTCTGAAGATGTGAATTTAAACCTCTTAACAGTTTTAATCATTTCTTAGTATGAAACAGTCAACTTTATGGCCATGTGAAGACCTTCTGTTCTGAATGATAACAGCCTGACCACTGAAACGTGAAGCTTCAGAATTTGATTTTACAAATCACGGCCCACAGTTTTATTTGTATTCCCTGAAGTTTTTTTTAATTACCATGAAATCTGCTTTGGATGCATATTTTAAAAACCACCTTACTGACCACAAATTGTGAATGGAGCAAATTCAAGGTGGCATAGATGACAAATGTCATCTTTGTTGTGGGTTTCAATGAGTGTGAACATATGAAAGAAAACATTAAAGACCGATGGGAGGGAGGGAGGGAGGGAGGGAGGGAGGACTTTGGATATATTGGACACTCTGATATCTACAGCTCTTTCAACAATGCATATTCTTTCTATTAATTACTTTTATTTCTGAGTTCAGAAACTGCTGTAGAACTGACAGCCCCAACAATGTTGTTCTATGACACTTGAATCAGTATTTTTCTTCCTGTTCCTCTCCTACTGGAATTTGGACATCATCATGACTTTGGGTGCATAATCTTTTCAAGATGGTGTATTGCATCCAAATCAAGCTCTGTGATTTTTTTTTCAGCAATAACGTGATTTTTCTTCCTGAACTTCCTTTCCTCCTTTTTTTTGTTAACCTTGATCAGTTGTAACAATCTGTACTTTCCATTCCTCACTACATAACCAAGCATGCTGCATTTAATGAGTTTTATGATTGTCTGTTCGTTTGTCTTCGTTCCATGTCCTAATATTATCATACTGTTTGGATTGCGTGCATGTGTGATTGTGGAAGGATGACTGTAGCATGGGCTTTGAGTTGTTTGAATGTCTAGCTTACAGAATTAGGGTGATGCATAGCCTTCCGAAGCTTCTCAAGTCAGACAATTTGATTCCCCACTGTGCATCCTAGGAAACAAGCCTGCCTGTGTAGCCTTGGGCAAGTTAAAAAAATCCTGAAGTTCCCCCAGAAGAAGGGATGGGTAAACCAATTCTGAGTACTTTATATCTAGAAAACCCTAGAAAGGGTCAACATAAATCAGAATCAACTCGATGGCATGTAATCAAATGATAGCTTCCTCCCTGCCACAGAGCACCATTTGCACGAATTTTTTTAAAAACAGAGATCTGGACAAGCACAGACAATGTAACAGACTGTAAATAGAGTGGGTTAGGATGTCTCCTGAAGTGCAGAAGGTATGTTGGCCCCAGTCTGTGACTGAATCCCTGTTGATGGGAACAGTAAGTTGCGCCAGAGTAGGCTCATTGAATTACCAGAGGTTTGGTGAATCAACTCCTCTATAAATAAGTCACAACTAGAGTAGGGCCATTTGAATCAATAGAAGTTATGAAGGAGTTGGCTTATCAAATCCCCACTGATTCTATCAGCCTGTTCTAGTGCTACTTATTATGCTAAACTAGAAGATTTCAGATTGTATGCTCTTTATTCAGGTACAGAACAAGTTGGGGGACTTCTGCATACCCCTATTAATTTCCTATTTCAATCACTTTGTTAAATAGCCTTTCCAAGCTATCTAATAATATAAACAATTGTTAGTAATTGATCTGCATATCAATGTTTCTGATAACTTCAACAACAGTTACACTGTCATTTGAATCAGCAAGGGTTTCTAGAAAAAACATTCTCTTACAAACTGAAAAGCAGTGCAAAAATATGTAACCTCATTATATGCTTCTTCACATGGTATTACCACCAAACTAGGAACATACATTTGACTTGTTATCTTACAGCTGTTTCCTTTTAATAACCTATAATTAGTGCTAAAAGTAGATTAGCTTTGGAAATAGGAATGTAAATCCTTGCTTATTTTGTTCTCCCAGGTGAAAAAAAAACAGGTTTCACCCAACAGGGGGAGATTACACTTTTTTGTACATTTTCTTATTTTGGGACTTTTTTGCCAAAAGAAATGTAATTTAGTACAAAAATGTTCTATTTACATAAAAAGGTACACCATGCAGAAACTTTGTATTTTACATAAGCAAAATCTGTCTATTTGTCAGGCAAAATAGAGGAGGTACATAAAATCTAAGGTTTTTTGGTGCTTGTTTTTTCAAAATACAATTTTTGAAATGCTGACGATAATGGAAAAAAGCATGGTCTTTTGCCATGCAAAAAAACTCACAGCATCTGGTATTTTCCTTTTTTTCATATAAGTTTTTTTATGTGTCCTTTTTTTGCTAAGGATGAGAAATACAGTGAAAATTGTTTTATCTTCAGCTGGAAAACCATGTATTCCAAATATCTAATATCAAATGAATCCCTTGCTTAGGTCCTGAAGATCAGTCACAATGTGAACTAATTTGTACATTCCAGCAAGTGAGATAAGTTCATGCTGTGACACTCACACACAAACAGCCCATAAGAGCTTTCCTGTTCTACTCATGGGCAATCTGTAATGTCTGTTTTGATTGTGAGAGATAATGGTGACCTTGGAATTAAATAATTCCTATCAACTCATTTCCATGTAGGTTTGTTCTTCATTTATTTTTATTATGCAAAAAAAGTATTAAAAACAAAAAAATAGAATTTACACAGAGATACAATAAGGATAGAAATAGAATAAACATCCTCTCTCTCTCTCTCTCTCTCTCTCTCTCTCTCTCTCTGTGTGTGTGTGTGTGTGTGTGTGTTTTCCAACATGCACATATACAGAGGATGTTTATGTATAAACTTTAGTGAAGGGCAATCACATGTCTAAAAATACATCCATGCAAAGTTGTCATTACACACTGAAATTCATTGGATAATAGGAGATGGCCCTGTTGCAAGCTGCATCTTTGAACCATGGTCTATCTTCAGTAATTACTTAGAGAATGTGTCTTCAGTAATTAACTATCAATAGACAGGCAGTTTAAAAGTACATGAACATCTGCAATGTTCAGAGACAAAACTGACAAAATAAACATGAGCAATGACTTAATCCCCAAACAAGTTTATTGCTGAACATAGCCCGAATCTATACTTAAAAGACATATCAGATGAAGCACAGTCCTCCCACTTAGATGAATTTCTCAAACCTTTACAGTGGTGCCTCAACTTACAACCATAATCTGTACCAGAAAATTGACGTAACTCAAAATGGTCGTAAGTCGAAGCACCATTTCCCATAGGAATGCATTGAAATGCAATTAATCAGTTCCAGACGAAGAAAAAATTCACACACACACCCAAAAATAACTGCAAGACTCATTGGAAATGCAATAAATTCCTTCCAGCCGAAGAGGGGGAAAAAGAAAAGCAACCAAGCATGCAAGACCCATTGGAAATGCACAGAAAACAAATGGAGCAGATCGGAAATGCACAGACAACAAAGGTGGTGGGTCGGAAATGCAAAGAAAACGAAGGAAAAACCAGGCGAAGCATGCAGGACCCATCGGAAATGGGGGAAAAACCCCAAAAAGCAACCAAACCCCCCAATACCCATCGGAAATAGGTGGGAGCAAAAAACAAACAACCCCCCCAAGACCCATCACAGCACAAAATATAACCCCCCAGCTCAAAAACACACTATAAAAACATCCAGAACAGTTTTTTAAAAGCAGAAAACAGCACCTTACAACCATTTACCAGGCAGCCTGAAGCCTCCCTGCAAACACACACACAAATAAACACGATCACTCAGATGCAGAAGGAGGCAGTGCCAAGTCTCCTCCGACACACACATTCTCTAACTGCTGGGGCGAAAGAGCTACAAAGAAGCAGCTTCGTCGCCACCTACAGTTAGAAATTTGAATTTCCCACCTTTTTTCCCTGCCTTTTTCTGTTTGTAAGTGGAAGCTCCGGTCACAAATAGAAGCAAAATTTTGCAGCCAGAGCTGGTCGTAACTCGAAATGGTTGTAAGGAGGGGCATTTGTAAGTTGAGGCACCACTGTATTTTAAAAGTACACATAGGCTGAAATCCTACTACAACGCTGCACTTGCATAACTCAGAGTAACATAAGTAGTAGAATAACAGCACCAAGGTGGAACTTGTATTCACAAAGCAGTTGTGCATACATATAGTGCAACTAGATCTGTACATGTGTCACGTTCCCAGGGGTTTCAAGAGCAAAGACCGATAAGCCAATCCAACATCAGAAGTTCAGAGAATGCAGAGCTGATATCAAAATGCCAAAGCCAAATCACAAATCGTAATCTGAGGTCAGGGTCCAAAGCCAAATCACACAACATAGTCCAGTTTCAGAACCCAAAGCCAAGGGTCCAAAGAACAAGGTTCAAGGTAGGAGCATGGACGTGAGCCAGAGATTTGACTTGTTGCTTCCACAAGCTTCCCAGCCATCTGGGAGCTGCTTATATAGTAAAACAGTCATTGAACTGTTGGAAGCCTTTCATCCTGTCAGTACTAAGGCTAGCTGACCTGATGTTTCTGTGGGCAGCATTCAGGCGATCCTCTGACCTTTGCGTCATAAGTCTTTGCTGAAGTCTAACCCTTACACTGGCTACTGGGGGAGGAGAATCTGGTGGTGATTCAGCTGTCTGTGCTTCTAATCGCTCAGCATTCTCCTCAGCTGTAGTTAACCCCTCAGGTTCCGGATCTCCGGCTGATCTCATGACAACATGGAGATCAGGCCAGGAAATCTGAACAGTGCCCCAAACACCTTAGAGTGGGGAAAGCAATTCATGTCACTTTCTTTAAATTCCATTTCTTCCTCCTTTCCTCATTTTGCCCCTCCTCATAAGAGGGTTAGCTTGCTGTTTGGTCCACTGCAAGCACAGACTGGTTCACTGCTAAACCTAGTGATCAGATTATGTGTTTGCTGGAGCAAACCAACCTAACCCAAGAGTGTTCCTACTTACACTTTTATGGCTGCTGTCATGGGTTTCAACTTTTTTGGTGTGGGATCATTCTGTTTTGATTTATTTCCTGTGCATGCAATCACTAGAAATGAACCAAAGCAAGCCGCCCTCTTTGAGTTTGGCATTTTGTGAAGTGGCTTAAGCAGATATGCTACACAACTTTAAGGAATAAGAGACGAAACAAAAACTTCCTCCAGGAAGCAGGAGGAGACAGGCGTGGCAACAAGGGAGATTTTTGCTTGTTTTTCCTTTAAATGTCCAATTGAGAACTTGCATGATTTGGCTGTGGGCAGGTTCTAAACCATACCATTAAGAGAAAATCAAACAAAAAACCATCCTGTTTCCATCTGAGCTGCCCTGATACACTTCTTTTCCAGTTCCTCTGCCCTTGCACATTGCCAAGGAAGTGTTTGCCAGTAGCCTGATGTGGCTCTCAAGCTGCTTCATGACATTGACAAATTGAAA